TTGTGGACTGATCTGTATTGTTTGTGTGTATGTGTTGATGTTTCCTCACTGGCCAAAGATTTTGCCTCCATACTGACAGATACCGGCCAAGAGTGACCTCCAGGCTGGCCACTTGAGCAACACGACACCAAACGTTATGCATTTGTGTAATCTGTAAAAAGAATGGGAAGGCCCACCACTAGTGACCATGCATGTAGCAGTGCTTGCACAAACTAAATCTAGAACAGAATTATCGACTGTAATGATTAGCTTTACTGATAATGTTTTGATAATTTTCCAATTTACTGACAAATGATGCAATGGTCTCTAATATATCGTGCACCCTATTTTAAACATCTGAGATTAACGGTGCTGATTTCGAGAGTACTTTTCACGTTCATGTGCTGATGACTATAGTTCTAGGCAGATGATAGTCGATTCTAGATCAGTGTTTTTTTTCCACCCATGGGTGAAAAAGCACCCAAATGTGTTGCATGCATAATAAACTCCAATTAACAGACATGCAAGCAAATACAGAAAACTGCATAACCACACATTTTGAGTGTGCAACTGAGCATGTGTAATGTCACAGCATGGCAAGATACAGTCAGAATCAAGGGGCAGAGGTGGTGAAACAGAAAGTGGGTGGAAAAAGGGAGGAGTGAGGAAAAGCGTGATGGGATGAAAATAATAGAGTGAGTTATTCGAAAGAGCATTCAGGCACTTTCCTGTCTGCTGCCTTCTTTTACATTTTGCAGATAAAATAACAGTAACAAAGTAAGTTATCAGCAGGAACGCACTGATACCAATACTAGTATCAATTATCGGCCCAATATCATGTTCATCTACTCATACTCAACCTCCTAAAAATTCACAGACACCAACATCCGACATCACCTGACACCACGAACAATGAACAAGTGATTCATGCTGGCAGTGAATGAGGGTCTGCTCACACAGCGAAGTGTAACTGACTCTGTGGCAGTTGGACATAAAGCTGTCGGTCACATTCTGCTTCTGAATATTCCCGCCAGGTATACACTGCGAGCAGCATGTTATTTTTTACTGTAAAACTTTATTGATAATTACCCATAGACAGAGCTGTGTGTAGGAGCTGCATTTCACGTAACACAGTCTGAGCTGTTACCAAAGAATGCAATTTCTAAAACGACACAGTGTATGTCTGGCTTTAGTGGACATTCAACTTCAGCTCATCCAGCCAAACAAAAGACTTCAAGAAGACATAAACCCCTCAAGTGACTATGAAACATACTTTACTTACAGCTGTACAGAAGTGCTTTTCTGATGTACAAAAAAACCACTTCTCCACTGCAATGCTACTCAACCCAAGGTATTTAATGTAGCATAGCTAGCTAATTTGTGAATTTCCCTGTTGTGGGACTAATAATGGATTATTTTATCTTGTCTCATCTTAATGCACATCATTACTACCTAGATTTTAATGATTTAACTGTGAAGGGACATTGCACTCATTTACATTAACAACTACGTAATTCTAAGAAGGTTATGGTTATGGTATCAGACTCTGTATCAGTAAGTACTAAAAATGTACTCAGTCTGAAAAAATAGTATTGATGCATTAGTAGTTATGAGCAAGCTTCAGTCTGGAGTCACCGTGCTGTCTAAAAGATGGTGGTGTAACTGTCAGTCAACTGTCATATTAAAACTTCCATTTTTTTTATGCAAATGTTTATACGGAACATTTCATAACGATATAACCAGCGGTAACAGGCCCACAATTACTTGGAATAAAATCTTGTTACATTAACATACATTAAAGAGTGATATTTGTCCTTTTACCATTTCAGAAATATGAGGTTTTGTAACAGCAATAATGATGTACGAAACTGAGAAAGACAGCTGCACTACAGGAAACACGAAGTTTAGTACATAAAACATCTCAGAGGAACCAGAGAACAACTAGGTGATATGCATGGGAGACACTATAATTAGGCAGAACGTACTTCTCATAACAGCAGCTGTTTTCATTTAATTGGGTGTATCCTTTAACATATATTTTTGGAAAAATAATCAAAAGCAAATACACTGTGGTGTACCTCAAAGCAGCCTGTTCAATCTAATAAAGCTATTCACATTGCAGTCACTGGTGAGAGCTCTGCAGACAGGAAAGCTCAGAGGAAGTGAGATTGTCATGGTTGAACAGATACATACCCAATATGGGTAGAACTTGCCTTTTCAGTATACCAGGGGTAAACCGAGAAAGCCTGCATTAGGTGCAAGCTACAGAACTTGCATATAGACTATACTAACTAGATATGTGCAACAGTAAATGTATGCAATGTATAGTAAAAATCTGAGCTGTAATGCAATAAAAAATGCAACAGAAGGCAAAAAAATGGTGTTGCAAAATCCATGTCATGACAAAACATCAATACGGAATTCACTTTATACCTATCACCTCTATGAGATGGACCATTTAGTTCACACAAAGCAGTTGAATGTGGAGTAAGATGTTAGGTGCTGTCCCTTCTCAGCAATGGTTTGCAAGATATTTAACATAACACCAACATACAACAATTCATTACTATTTTTATTTAATTTTACCTACAACATAACTATATACTACCAGCTTGTTTGCATGGTTGGTCAGCACATACACAGCAACCAGTGAAGTTCTGCAAGACATACCCACATAGGCAGAGAGGTCAGAGTGAAATGTTACTGTGAGCCTTCATCAAAGCTCTGATCAATGGGCTTCAGCATCTAATCAATTAACAAGCCTGGGAAATAATGATGCTCAGCCTTAACGGAATGATTATGGGCTACAAAAAATAGGGTTCTTAAGTCAAAAGTCATAAGAGTGAGATCTTTATACTGCAAAGCATGCACTACATTATGCATCAGTATAATTTGCCAATTATTAACAATTAAGTGTCCAAAATAGTTTTTTTTTTGTTTTGTTTTAAGCTACACTATGTAAGTTTCATGTAAGTTTGACATTTTGACCTATCCATGTCGGTCTATGGCCTGCTTTAGAGCAGAGGCATGCCAAAATAGCCTTGGAGTGGAATGAGGATAAAAATGTGGGCCTTAGCCTAACCAGTCATTTCTGGATGCTCTTAGTTAATACCAATTAATGCAGTCCCTACAAACTAGCTTTCATGTCTGAACTGTGGCCCGTACACATGAGCTAGGAACCCTCAACACATTCTGCCTTAATGTCAACAAAAAAGTCTTCTAGCAATGCTCATTAGAACTAGACACATCTCTGACTTAGTGGAGTCATATAAATAAAGAAAAAAATCTGTTTCAGAAGAACAGCATCTTTCAGTGCCACAAATAAACCCTGAGGGTTATGCCAGGCCACAGCTTCCATAACCACCGCGACCACTGGTGCTGTGTGCCGGAACACACTGGTCCTTAGACACAGCACACTGAGAGCAGCCACAAGGCTGCCTTTCTTCAAGCTCCCTCAAACTGAGGGAAATTATGAGAACTCCCTGAATCAGACTGTGCTCCTAGCGCTCTTAAAACATGCGCAGGGAACATGTTAGAGGGTAAATTTGACTTGCATTAGTCACAGAGGCTGCACTCTCTGCCAAGCTCTATCCACAGATCTTTCCTTTTATTCCATCAAGCCAACATTTACAAGCCCCATGTTTTGGCCTTTCTTTGCAAAACCTCAGAATAACACGCTCATTTTCACGTCCATGTCAAGCACAGAAGGAGCAGTGATTGGGTCCTGATTGCTGATAAATAAACATGGAGTATATTGGCTGTTGAGCACAGGCGGTGATTTAGGCACCTTTCGCAGTATTGTACAGCGCTGGGCTAATGGTAACGCCTCTGTCTCCATGTGTCTCTCCCCTCTGGCTGCAGGCCTAATGGTCCGCTCCATCAGCTCATAACCCTGCCGGATAAAAAGCTTTATTTGTGGAGCTGGGGCACTGTGTCTTGCGCAAGGAGTCTAGCCTGGGCACATAAAGAGACAAACTGAGTCCACAGTGGCCTGTAAAGCAGGAGAGGGAGACAGAGGAACCTCAGGGGCTTACTGCCCCATTGCACAGCGAGGGGTGGCCCGCAGCTTGCACCCACATGCTACTTCCGAAGCCAGATGCTTTCTTAAAGAGCCTACATGAACGGCACACCTGAGCCTATAGTTGAGATTATGGGGTGCGGCACTTTTTACAAGATACACAATACAGTACATTCAGTATTGTTCAAAAGTCTGAGACTACCCTTAATTTCTTTAATTTTTAGTCAAAATAGCCACTAAGTACAAGCTAATAATTTTCCAGGAGATATTTCTGAAAAGACAAAGTATGAAATACACTTGCATAAGAAATGGGAAGGTCAAAGGAAAATAAATGAAAAGCAGGAGTTTTTCAAAACTGTGGTTCAAAAAAATATTAAAAGTTATAGAGAAAATAGGACTCCTAATAACCATGCAAGACCTGACAGACCACCAAAACAGTTCCCATCAGATAAATAGATCTTTTATCTTAGAGAGACAGGAGAAAATCAAGTTCCACTCATGCTTTAAATCTGAAAAAATCCACAAAAAAAATCCACTCTCCATCCTTCCACTGTAAGAAGACAACTCAGCACTATGGGTCTGAAAGGATGTGTAGCTGTCAAGAAGCCGTTACCATGAGAAAACAAAGACGATAATTCACAAATCAAACAAAGACTTGGTCTGGCCACCCCAAAGCACAGACCTGAATACCACTGAATGCATTTGGGAACCAGCTTCTAAGACTGAACTTTGTTGGTGTGACAAAATATCTCTGCAGATTTATAGATTCTATAAATAGTCTAAATCTATAATCGGTCTAATAATTTTTCTGATGATACATGCAATTATTCAGTGTTCTAGAAGTACTGGAGAAGAACCCATGGCATACTCAGAATTTATCACGATAACAACATGTTAACCTGCCCACTCCTAGCTGGGCAAGTGCTAAGAGACGTCCTTCTCAGCTGAGAGCAGACACGGGAATTGAGGCCAAAACCAGACACAGTGTGAGCTGGACAATTACCTGATGCCTTTGATCTGAGCAATACTGTGGTGGGAGATTCTGGACAGGGCGGAGATCACCTGTGAAAACACAGGAGAAAGCATGAGTTAGCAACACAAACTTCTCAAAGGAGACACAAGTGCAATATTCAGTATAAAGAAAACTATCCCAGCTTTTGTTTATCTCAGCATGCAGTGCACAGCTTGTGTGTTAACAGTGAGAATGGCACAGTATTAGTGACAGTGGCAGGTGACATGTGGCTCCTAACGTCCCCCGCAAAGTCGGTGAAGTGAGCAGCTTCTCTCAAATCTGTTCCTAAAACCTTGGCTTTTGCCACATTTTCTCTCTTGCTGCCTTCCTCTGTGCTCTCTTCCTCTACATACACCCTTGGTGCATTAGCACTGGGTAACAGGGTTAAACGCATGCAGTATTTAAACTGATTTAATGCCAGTCATGAGTCACATGTGAGTGGGCTTATTGGTGGCCGCTCTGGGGGCTTCCAGATGGTGCGCTAGATAGCCCTGGGAGCACAACGTAGAAATAAGATCCGTACAGACACACAGATCATAAACACGTTAACATCGGAGATGCGTTTGTCTTGCCTCATTACATGCTTATGTGCGTGTTTTAAGCCTCCTTCACCTGCTGCCATGGCGACACCAGCTGTCTGACAGCCATAGTGAGTATGAGTGTGTAGAGCTCCTTGGGTCTCTAAGCAGGTGTGCACAGTCTCAGTGTAGCTATATATGCACTCAGTGCTCTTGCTGCCATGAAGGTGACTCCACAAATGGGAATGGGCTCTAATGAAGGGCGATCCAGAGTGTCTCTCTGAGACTACACACCATCACTTCACAGACAACTTAGACACTTATGCATGATTATGCAATCTGCACATCCTTAATATCTCTTTAGTAGCTCTAGATCAAAGATATAGTTTGCCTATGTTCTGATACTGACACCTGGTAAAAGACCAGCAAGTTTTGAAGCCAGAATGCTTATACTGAAAAGTACTATATATTAATGTATCCATACACAGATGCATTCTTTTGTTTTAACCGTTGCAAAGTAGGACAAGTTTTACAGAACATTGCAAAACCACATTCAACCTTATGAATTTAGGCTGAAGTTTAGATGTGTGCAAAAAAACAACAACAAAAAAAAACTGTAGTGCACTAGGATTAATGTAGCGCTCTAGGGTTGCCTCTTCAGATGAGGCTATAAGCTAACACAACAGTCATCCAGTATTGGCTGCTGATGAGAACTCGTCTTTTCTTCACAGTGGATACGCCAACACAGGAATATCTTTTCATTGTTTCTGGACATACCTAAGATCAATTAGAGTACTTAGCGACTGGTTAGCGATAAATCGATAAAGTTCTTAACAATGTGTCCTTGGCAACAGTCTTAGTTCATGTTATCAGGTACTTGTGTTGTATAGTAGCAAGTTGTGTAATATGCATACTTACTCAAAACCAAAACCTGTTTAAATAAATAAATAAATAAACAAACACAGTTTCACTAAATGGTTGGCCTGTCTATTTTCTCTGTCTTTCTGTGACAAATACTGAAATACTGATTTCTGTATTTTGTAAAATACTGACACCTCAAAAGGTTAACTGCATACTCATGAATCTGTACACATCCCTACTACCAAGCCGGACTATACTGTTGTAATAGTCAATACTAGGCAGGTTGGAAACAGCAACAGATTTGCCACAATGCTAACGTTAGCTTGATTACATGACAAAGAAATCTAAAAGGGTGACCTTTTACATGCACACAAAATTCTTCTTTATCCCACCTGGCCCAGATGAGTCCGAGCAGGCAGCCACCCTACCTACGATGGCTACAATGCAGCCCTGTTCAGGACAGCAGCCTGTAAGATCTATGGCACTGCATTACTCCACTACACTTGTTTTAGTCACACGGCTGTCTGGCCTCTTCATCCACCACCAGCTAATGGGTTTAAATATTAATGGAGTTTTAGTATGGTGACACCATCGGTGTCTGAGTTATACATCAGTGATGCAGCTCTCTCCCTCTCTCTCCTTTCTGCGCCTTTTTGCAATAAATCTCCATGCACCTAACTCTCTTTCTCAGCCTCCATCACTCTCATCTCTTACTCTTTCTTCCTTTCTCTCATTCTTCAGGTCAGGTCAAATCCTCTCTCTCTGTTTCTTCACTATTGATTTTGCTCTCATCTCAGTGTAGCTCCCTGAGGAGCAGCCAGTCACAGCCGGAAGGGAACACACAGCCTCCGTCACCTCTCGCGCAAACAGCATATCAAACACAATGAAATATTTGGCGGGTAGAAGGACATATTACATTCAATAGCTTCACCAGAGCCCAGATGCTCCCCTTCATGATACAACAGTAGATGACAGAAGGTGCAAGAGGCAGAGACAAGGAAAGAATGTGTGTGTGTGTGTGTGTGTGTGAGAGAGAGAGAGAGAGAGAGAGGTAGAGAGAAAGGACAGAGTCTGTGCTGATGATGAAGCTCCCTGAAGTCGCACATTCTGAATTCATGCAATATTAACAGGTTGTCTGGTGCAGCTGAGATGCGGTGTTGTGCATGGATCAGCTGCGAAACACAGTACTGAGTGTTTACAAACACACAATAAATTGTCCTGACTTGCAGCAACACATGTGACTCCAGTCACAGCTGGCCACCTGACGTTAAGATGAGAGGAGAGGAGAGGAGAGGAGAGGAGAGGAGAGAACACAAGCGGAGAGGAGAGGAGAGGAAAGGAGAGGAAGCTAAATGACCGAAAAGGAGAGAAGAACAGATGAGACGAGATGAGATGACAAGAGAACAGAGGGGAAGAAAGGAGGACAGAGGGAAGGAGAGAAGTGGAAAGGAGGAGGAGAGAAGAGAGGGAGCAGAGTGGAAGAAATCAGAAGGGAGCGAAAAGAACAGAGGGGAGGAAAGGAGCGAAGAGCAGAACAGAGGCGAAGAGAAAGACAAGAGAGCAGAATGGTGGAGAAGAGTGCAGAACAGAACAGAGGAGAGGGTAGCAGAAGAGATTAGAACAGAGGGAGAGGATAGAACGGTGGAGAGGAGTGGAGAACAGAACAGAGGGAAGGAGAGGAGGGGAGGAGAGGAGAGGAGAGAGGAGGGGAGGAGTGGAGAACTGAGAGGAGGAAAGGAGTGAAGAGCAGAACAGAGTGGAGAAAAAGACAGGAGCGCAGAATGGGGGAGAGGAGTGAAGAATAGAACAGATGAGAGGAGTGGGGAGGAGAAGAGATTAGAACAGAGGGAAAGAAAACAGAAAGGTGGAGAGGAGTGAAGAACAGAACAGAAGAGGGGAGGGGAAGAGATCAGAACAAACAGAGAGAAAGACAGGAAAGAGAGAAGGAGAGGAGAACATAGTGGAGAAGGAGTGGAGAGCAGAACAGAGGAAATGAGAGGAGAGGAGAAGACACAAACGAGAGGGGAACAGAGGAAGCAAGAGATGAGAAGAGCGAAGGGGAAGGGCATTTAATGACATGTTATATATGCAGAACACACAAGATCATGTCACCATGAATGCACACAACATGGGCACCATGCCATACATTCATTGTGGCAGTTTAATTACTAAAATATACAGCAGGGAATAACGCGCCACATGATAAGGCTCACCACACGATACTCTACTAAGCTGGGCATTGCAGCCTGTACAATAATATTCATGCTGTAGCATTCAATTATGTTCTCTGTACGTCTATAAATTAAACCAACGTAGAATCTCAAACAGCCCCACTGAGCAGGGTGAGAAAATAGCAGAAGCATGAGATATTAATGCGCTTTAAATGAGAGTTTGCACCAGGAAGCCTCGGTTCAGCTGATGACAGAGACCACAGTATTGGGAGACATGAGAACAGACAGCTGTGTGAAGAGTAAAGTCCCCTACGTCATCAATAATGGACCTGAGACAGTCCAGCACCAGTAATCTCTAACCAGCACAGGGCTCAGCTATCTAAGAGAGATCTGCAAATGAACTAAACACAAGCAAAAAAAAGAAAGAAAGATAAAGAAAAATAAAAGTATTTACCCTACAGCAACACTGACTATACTGAGGCAATTTCCTTATGCCTGAAAGTTTCTGGGCAGCGTGAGTCGTTCGGCATTGGCACTGGAGCTAAATCCTCTCATGGAGCCCTGGCAGCATTATGATTACCAATTACTTTCAGAAAGATGCCCTCAAGAGTGGACATGAACACATCTGAAACAAGCCCCACGTATGACTGCTGACCGACAGAGGTGCACCGCAGGCAGGGCTGGTGGATACACAGGTCCAGCTAGCTAAATGCTAAATGCTAAACCAAGTCTAAAGGCTATCAATACCCCAAGAGACCAGCTGTTCCTTCCATCTATCTCTTCATTGTTTCGTTCCCTCAATAACAACCTTGACCAGCTTTAGCTCAGACTGTAACTGACTACACAGCAGCAGATGTGTGACTATTGAACAAAGCCGGACTCAGTCACTGAGGTAAGTTGATAAGGTTAGCACGTTTTAAACTGTTTATATGTTGCATTATCTGGTGTATTTGTGACATATTGGTGAAACTAATACCTGAGGAAGAATTTCAAGCAGTATATTTCCCCTTACTACTGCATTTTCTCAAAATATTGGTGCTACAGATTTTGCCATGAGCATTTTTACTGCTGCTTGTCATCCCACACTGCCGACGTGTTTTTAAGTTCCGTCTACTGGTGCACATACATAGAAATTGCTTATTGGTATTGGTCATAGGTATTGGCTTCCCCATTGCCAATAATGATTTGGTGTTTAAGTGCCAGTATTAATCTTATAATTTCTAACTACGATACAGGCTAGTCACATGGACCATAGGCAAGATCTATGATGAGACTTTGCCAAGCACGTACTTTAAGACCTCCTCAAAGCTAAACCAAGAAAGGAAAAAGCATAAAGGAACTAGACACAAAGGTGCAATTCAACATTAATATCACTCTTTCTGAAGGAGAATGCTCTGGACTGGCATTATAATTTGCTGCTTTGAGGCACACTGCTGATCCACATGGTTCTCTTGTTGTCATATTTCTCAGTGTGAAAGTGTGTGATCAAACCAGACAAAT